CAAAGGCATCAAACACATAATCAGTAAACACAAAATTGCATGTGTTAACTGACCGACGTGGGCGAAACCAATTTTGCTCATTGACTAGGATTTGATTTTTGATTAACGCCATAACGGTAGGTTGAATACAACTTAGAACAGTTACTAGTTAGTAATTTAATATACTAACGATTCAAACAATTTTCCAACGTGACTGATGATGGCTATTAAAAACCATTGTCAACTTAATTTTAAAACGACTGAAATGGCATTGGTTGAAACAAGAAAAGTCGATTTTGGGAATACCACAGATATATAAAAAATTTTATATATCTGTGGGGAAAACAGACCCCGTCCCTATCACCAGGACCAGGTATGGCGATCATTCCCTTCTCCATACTCACCCACTCTTCACCACAATCACCAGTTACAAGATGTCATGGTATTTATTTTTTCACATCTCAATTTTTATTAGACTTTAGCATGCTCGTCTCATTGCAATTTTCGTCCTATGTCATCATTAGCCGTATAAGGCACGTGTTGCACTGTATTGTTGATAACAATGATAACTAATAAATCATCATACAGAACGCGGATTGCAGACACATAAAATGTTTAAATGTATAATATTATGTCTAAATCATTTATAAATAATAACATTTCGGCTTTCAAAAGTCAATAGTTTAATTTGAAACCATACCTCCTAAACTCATGACCGCAGTACGGGTTTATACCTCCTAATCGACGATGATTTCTATAGTCAACAGTGGTGTGTGCATTATATCATATTGCGTTCAGCGCCGTGATCCAATTTTTTCTCGGATCGATCCTATTTTTAAGTACCTACGGTATTATACACGTTCTCCCGCCACTATTTCCTCGTGTAATGGCGTTCATACTTTCTATTTATAGGTATATGCCTCGGTGCGATACGCGCCCCGATCATAAGTTCTAGTAAGCAACGACCATCTTTACTATCATCATGGTTACACAATTGATTAAGGTAAGAGAACACGAAATTTATTATATTATTGTATTTTTGAAACGTTTGTAGATATAGGTACCTACATCTCGTCACCTTGCTAGTAAGTACGATACCGAATAGAAAACGCTGTTCAAGTATCTAAAATCTAAATTAGATTATTTTATAAGCATTTGTGTCGTTCGTGAAATACTTCCATAGTTCCCCGCTGTCGTGACGCTCACAGATTCACAGCAATCTATTAATCCTCAAATGAACTCTTATTGTCGACATTTTTATTTTTAAATAAAATGTTTTTAGATTTACTTCCAACTTGTACAGTTACATTTACCTAGTAATTGTTGTATCTAAAGAGACAAGGGATACAAGGAATGTATGAGAGACAATACCTACCAATCAGCTAAATATTTTAAATCGATTTGCATAGTATAATATTTGTATGGAATGATGTTTCGGAACACAGTCGTTAATTCGAATTGTGATTTTTGGGTATTTTCAAATTCTTTAATTTAATAACTCAAGTTTTTCCACTTATTTTCGCTCAAAATTCGGACGATGTTTTCGAAAACGGCCACCGGGCCAAATCGAAATTCAAACGAGTAGACAGTTTTCGATTCCAATGTCTCGATGTGTTCTTGAATGCTAAAGGAGTAAAGGACATATTTTTATTCTCGCAATTCCATAAAAAGGTCTGCGAATATTTTAAGATCGTAATAATCTTAAAACCATAAGTGCGTGTATACGTGACTAAAAATCGGTAGGTATTCGAATAATTTCAAATGTGGATAAAAAAATCATTATTTTGTCGCCCACGATTGATATGGTCGTGTTTTTTTAGGTGGCGGAAGACCCTACGGTCGGTCGGTACGTGGCTGCCAACGTGGACTTGGCCGCGTGGCAAGTGGCGCTCGTCGAACGGCCGCTGATCCGTGGCCCGTCACAGGTCACCGGGCCCGTATGCCTGGGATGCCTGAAGTCGATTACTGCCGACACGGCGGTGAGGTGCGAACGATGCGGTTGGCCGATGTGCTCGGACAGCAAGTGTTCGGACGATGAATGGCACAAGGCCGAATGTGACTGGACCGTGTTGAGGAGGAAGCAAAAGGTGAGTGTGGAGGACTATACGCGGTGTGCAGGGTACCGCCGGCAGTGTGCAGGATACCGCCGGCGGAACAGGGTAAAACGGAAATCTACCGTTTTTTAAATAGCAAAAAATTCGCCGACAGAATTTCACGATTTTCTGTTTAGTACATAGCGTACGTGCCTTTACGTTAATATACAATAATAGAATAGATCCGTTTAAATGGCTACCTACGCAAATATATTCTTAGTTTTTACGGTAATGAAAACGCGCGGAACAGGATAACTATATCCGCAAATAACACATTAAGCGCGTACGTATAAGGCGTTAAGAGAAAACAGTGTGACCACAGGTGGGGTTATCTGCGTGAGTTATTATAATATGTCATAATACCTAACAATAATCACGAAAAAAACTATTTCGTTGTGATTATATCTTATACGCGCGCAATAATTACTGTCTTGAGATTTTGACGTCCTCTTGAAAAACGTGGATTCCAGAGCTAGTGCTTTCCGCCCGCCTGGGAACTCTATCACCCTAAAAATACGTCTTTATCAATATACATGTAATCCGTCCCGCTGCAGGTGGAGATCAAAGACTTCACGATCCCGCATCCCAGCTATCAGTCGATCACGGTGATCAGGTGCCTGTACCAGAAGCACAACAACCCGGACGTTTGGGCCAAGCTGACCAAACTGGAATCGCACTGCGCCAGTCGCCGCGGCGGGTCCAAGTACGAGACGGACCGCGTGTGGGTTGCGGACCACTTGCGCAGGTTTTTCAAACTGGACCCGGCAGAGTGGCCGATCGAAGAGATACTCCGGGTGTGCGGGATCGTGCAGGTCAACGGGCACGAAGTGCCCCTCACCGACCCTCCGTACGTGGCCATCTACGACGCGGGTTCGATGCTGGAGCACAGCTGCGTGCCCAACTGCTCCAAGACGTTCACGGGCGACGGTCATCTGTTGATCAGGACCGCGGGTGCGGCCGTCAAGAGCGGCGGACACCTGTCCATCTCGTACACGGACGTGCTTTGGGGCACCGCGCAACGGCTCGCCCATCTGGCCGACACGAAGTTCTTCGTCTGCAAGTGTCCCAGGTGTTCCGACCCCACGGAACTCGGAACGTACTACAGCGGAGTCAAGTGCACCAATGAGTGAGTTTATTCATAATCAACTAATGTTATGTTTGTCGGGTTGATAAAATACCTATAAGGTTATTTACGTTGTAATCGATTCATAGGTGGGTTTATGGTTAGTACCTGCACTAACACTAATTTTGCACGGCGTTGCCCGTAACAAATTTGATGGCCGCGGGTTTACACCTTTTTAAGCTCTGTTAAACGCAAACGGTACAATTTTTTAACACAGTCATTTGGGTTGTTTTTACCGAAGTATGTGAAATACTACTGCAGGTTTAAAATTGTATTCAATCACACTTTATATTCTGTAAGTAAATGGCAACCTTATTATAAAACAAAAAATGTTTGTTTTTCGTAAACCAATAAATCAATCCTGCGCGAGCCCCTTTTGTAATGCCAAATTTAAAAATTTAACTTCGAGGCGCTCATTTTTGTGCATACGATCATTTATGCACTAAAATTTCAGTACCATACGAGTGCGATGACGTAGTATCGGATCATTTACACACACACCCACTATCGTAAATATATATAGCACTAGCTAAATAACTCAAAAATTATATGTTTTTTTTTTTTAAATAACTTACGATTAACAATTATGCGTAAAAAACAATTTAATTAATGTAATGTACTTTTGTTATCGATAATGATGCATATGTGCATATAATTAGGCGTTGTATAGTTTCTAATCAATCATATCGTTGACGTGCGAAGTATACGTCACAAGCGTTTATCTTTTCAGAGACTGTATGGGCTACGCGTTGCCGAATGTACATCCGTCTACCGACGATCCGTTCGACATCGAATGGACATGCAACTTTTGTTCCACGGCCGTCGATCCAAATCAGATCGAACTCACGCTGTCCCACGTGGGCCGAGATATGGCAGCGATGAACCGTCGTGACCCGAACCACTGTCGCATGTTCCTTGACCACTACGTGTCGGCCGGCGACCTGCACCCCAACCACTATTATTTCACCGAAGTTCGCCTGAACCTGGCCCAGCTCTACGGGCAGCTGGAAGGGCATCCGCTGAACACGCTGTCCTCGGAACAACTGAATCACAAGCGCGAACTGTGTCTGAAAGTCTTGAAAGTAGCGGACGTGTTGTTTTCGGGTGAGATTCGAAAAAACTGTTTTTGCATATTATTATAGAAATATACGTCGTTGACGCATAACTGTAAAAAGTATTGACATCATAAGTATTAAGTATTATTTTCTTGCTAATCAACATTATCGTTTTTGTATCCGTAGCCGAATGTCGGATACGGGGCGCCCTGATGTTCGAGTTGCACGCCGTAATGGCGGAAGACGCGAGGAGATCACAGCAAGACACCAATGTCGTAATGGAAGCTCTGTTGGTGAGTCCGGAACTCGGCCATGCGCGATTTAAAACAAACCATTAAATGCCCAGGCCATAGTGCCATACTGTAAACTATATAATAATATATACTCGCGCGTATATATTATGATTTATCATAATATTATAGTCTTAACGTATTATTTTTTTGTACAGAGATCCAAGTTTTATCTGGAACAAGCTGAAAATTTGTTGAAATACGAACCGAAAGAATTACCCGAAGGTCAAATGGCCGCCCAGTGCAAGCAGAACGCCATAGACTTGGACTTGTTGTTAAAAAAATTGCACGAATCAATTGGCAGTGCACCTATGTGATGATCTTTTTTTGAAACCTTTTTTCCAGGAGTTTAACTCACTATCGAGATCACATGATATTATTATTGTAAATTCAACATTTATGATATTATATATATTATTATATTTATAATCAATTCAAATAATGAAATAAAATTGTATAATTTTATAAAATAGTTAAAAATCCGGGTTAAAGTTTATCATTCTTATCGGCAGCGTCTTCTCCCAAATATTGTTGGACGATGTCGTCGTTGGCCGCGACGTTTGCAGGCGCGCTCATCGTATTTTCTTTTCTTAATAGTACCTGAAAATCCGAGTTTATTATAGGTAATCGTAATAGTGACTACGCATACTTTATACTTGACACTTATTTACTTAACACCGTTCACAAGTACAATACATTTATTTGTTTCGTTTTACCTTCGAATGATGCGGACCTCGAATCCAAATATTTTTCTCGTAAGCCAGTCTAGTCAAGTTTGCAGCGTCCTGTATCTAAACACCCACATGATACATTAACAATTACCAATACAGACAATACACAAATGATAAATCGCGTATTAATTGGTTTCCGATTTCATGTGTAATAATAAAATTAATGATAATAATAATATAATATAATGTACTAACGTCATCCGCAGCACTCGAAACCGCGTCCTGTGAATTTTGTTCGTCTTCATCGTTTTCGTTTTGTTCAAGTTTCATCAATTGCATATATCTGAATCATTCTATCGCTGATCATTGAGTTAATCGGTATATAATTATAACAAACGGCCATCGCCCAACCAGCTCACCTCGATGTCTGTATGGAGTTTCCCTCGTCCACGAAGTCCGTCGGTGGATTTTCCAGTTCCCAGTGTCGGTTACAGGACGAGCACCGGCACTCTTTGATCAGCTGTACGCGCTTCGTGTGATTCGATCCATCGCTGCACTTCAGTTTTACCTGCAGCCATAAGTTATGTTTATAGGTAAAAAGTTACGTAATTCGTCTAGGGTAATAAATGTGGTGCATAATAGTCACCGGGCAGAACTAGTAAGAGTAGACTTTCCCGCCACCCCAGAACAATCAAACATTTGATGTTCAATTTAAACATTTTTTTTTAAATTTTTACGTTATTATACATGACATGTTGGTCTACTATTATACAGCTCACGCGTTATAACTTATTAACTACAAGCTACTATTTTATTTTACTTTAGAAAATTTAATGTTGTTTTGGAGAAAAATGTATTTTTAAAAACATTCATATTTGTTGAAATAATAAGTAGCTAAAACATTATCCTATAACTTATTAGCAATATAAACATTTTTACTTGATATATTGCAACAGGAAGTACCTACGCGTACTGCCTAGTGTCTGTATGGTTGTATAATAATTATATTACTCATCGTGCTTACAGGAATCCATAGCGTGTTTACGGGTTGGCACGAGTCGCAATACGAGTTAACTTCATCGCCGTTGTTGGCCGGAACCGTCCTTGGTATGGAATAACTAAAACAAGCGCCCAAGCAAACGAGGTTGTCAATTTCCACGGGATCGCAATCGACGTCGGATATAACTTGTTTAATGGGCGTGCTCGTACACCACGAATGCTTGTCAGGATACAAAACTATATTGTGGACCTATAATTCAATAATCGTATCTTTCGTAGACAAACTACAACTACTATCATTTTTTATTATACAACTCTAGCGTCAATTCGTGTATAGATAGTTGTTACACGGTCCTTTACGTACTTTGTGTTGTCTGAGAGTAGAATTTGTCGGCTCGATTTCATACGCTCGTACACCAAACACCAACACAGACGTGTACAGCAAATAATTCATGACGGTAGTAATGACATTTAAAGAGCTCGGAATCATTGAAAAACGATTTATCTTTTTAAATACACCTGCTAAATAAAAACACAAAATTAATTAATGGTTTGGTCTTGGTCGCTTAATTAACGCGGTTCGTGTACTGCTGTAAAATGTAGATCACAGTTACTGATTATTTAAATGATATTATCTGTATCGAATAAAAATTTGAACAGTAAATAAATCGCGAGATTCGATGCCCATGAAACAGTTTGTGGTTATAATATTATCTGGTGAGTATAACCATTAATGATATATTATCATTGTTATTAGGTAGTTATTAGTTATTACTGTTTACCAATTACCATCTGGCATCTGTCCTTATGAAGTCCTCGGCCACTTGAAACTTGAAAGTATAATAATATATACTGTGAAATGTTCAACGAAATGTTTCGTATTAGGTACCATTACAATTTTAATTTATTATATTAATTATTATCATAAATTTATAGACATCGACTTCTATAGGCCATTAACCAACGTTTAATTAATTTTATTATTCGGTCATATACGAGTTTACAATCCATTATCCGGTATCGACCTACAAGTCGATATCTCTTTAAATAAAATATCGCATTCTCACCGTCTTGCATACAGATAATAATCATTCATGTGTAGTTATAGCGTATTAGAAGACTGCTGTAGCGCCGTATCATTCATATAATATTTTGGCAGATAGCCATGTGGAAAACGATGTGCTTTAGGTTGAGGTAGGATAGTATTAATTATGAGAACGGAAGGTCCAATGAATGAATCGAATCTCGTCACTATGTATATAATACATACATATATGTAATGTGCATATATAAGCAATATACATATAAATATATTATAAACATAATACTGCTGCGACCCGCGGAATCGATTTAAAGGATTTACGATGTTTACGGCAAGACCCGGCATCGAGTATCGCTGCAATATTTAAATTTTTCAAAAACGTGTGTAGGTATAGGTAAGTAGATGAGTTACGTACGTTATAATTATGATGTCCGTACAAACGGAAATTTGCTTTTATTTGTCATAATTATTTCACACTCGAAATGAATTAATAAAAATATATACTATACGAGCCGGTTATACCAGAGATCATCGACCTGGAGTAAATCTACTTTTGGCAACCGTCCAAAGTCTTTTCTCGAGAAATTGTTCCATTCATGACGATTGCAACTAATTACGACTGGAGGAAAGGTGACGGACACGGCATAAGCTCCCCCGGCACTGTTTACCGTCATAAGCACAGACCAACCGGTTTGCTTACTGATTAGCATACACGATTTTAATCTTAGCAATGATTAATCGTTAGTTCTATGCATATTTATTTAAACTGTGTTATTTTAAAGACAACGTCGTGCACATATTATATACCCACTCCTAGCTGTATCTAAGGAACTTAGGGTGATAATAATCCAAAATCGCAACAAAAAATTCATCGTTTTGGCGAGTCGTCTAGACGGAAACATTTAAACATTGGACAATAATGATATATTTTTTTTATACCAATGAATTTAATTATATTCTCTGAAAAATCTAAAGCAATTAAATATGTTTATTAATAATATAATGTTTATAGTTAAATCAAAAAAAAAAAAAACTTTTTTGGTTTTATACTTATTAGTTATACACAACTACTAATCACGAATCTCGAATGAAAGATATGGGAGAATATCATGCGTTATATTATACGTTTTGTGCATTTTTAAATTAACATCAAATCTATCACTTGTCATTGTTATTAAATAATGATTTATGTATATAAATAATTAAATTATTAGATTATCTACACACTTATACAATTTTTTTTTAAAGTGGAATCATATATGTGCAGGTTGATCTCTGAATTCTCGAGGAGCTTAGTCCCTTCCTCCCCTTGAATCTGCCGTTGAAATCTTATAGATATATTAGATAAGTTGATATTAAATAAAAAATTAACTATTTAATAGTAATAATAACCCATTTTGTATATGTAAGAAAAAATAATTGAACAACGAACAAAATATCTTTATTTTGTCCATATACTAACTAATAACAGTTAGTTATCAAAAATTTAAATTTCTAAAAAAATGGTTCTTATTAAATACTAAATATTACCACATTATTAAAAAGGATTATAAATCTTATGTTAAAATGTTTCACCTCGTGTTAAAACAATAAATAAACAATAATCATAATATAATTGAATGTTATAATACCTACTTCAAATTAAAAAAATACAAATTTTTAAAACATTTTCCTATTTTAAATAAATCAAAATATTTTTTTAAGTATTTAAATTTTGGCTTATAACAATATGGCAATTTGTAAGAATTACATGCAATTATATAAAAATAATAAAATGTACAAAAATAATTTGTTATCGTTGTATAAGTAACATTACTAAAAAACTTTTTTTTTATTTCAGATATGCCAATTCAGTTTTTTACGTATATTATAAATATTTATTACAACTTTAAAATAAATCTAAAAAAAATATTTTGATAATGAAAAATTTTGCTTTAAATTGAAAAGTTAAAATTTAATAAACATTATTACTTCATACAAGTAATTAAGTAATTTAAATAATGTGAATTAAATACATCTTTTGAACATTTTACTATATTATATTATATACAATTAATAATCTTAATAAACATATTGTTTCAAAACAAAATAAAAACAACATCTGACCCTTGTATACTTCAAATTTAATAACATTAATAAATAATATTGTATATACTTACAAGAAGCACTAATTTTCCGAGAACTATATACACCAGCTCAATTGAGTTCACAAACTGGCTGAATCGCCATCATTTTCTTGTCTACACGTAAAAATAAAAAAACTTCTTTAGCTGAACGGTGGGGGTATATAACTACTAAACATGTTGCTAACCGAGTGACCTGCTGCTAATTTCATTACCATTTTAATATTCATTATTTTATTATATAAATATAAATACATATACAGGGTGTATATATGAAGAATTTAACAATGAGATTGAATAACTATCTAAATGTACAATTATTGTCAAAGTCACCTGAATCTGCAGATATTCCCTTTACAGAGTGTACCACGAGTTATGATGATTTGATATATTCAAATATAATAGTTCAAATGTAAAATTGTCAAAATTATAAGTTGTAAATAATTTTATTTTATACACAATATGTATGCATATGAACTCAAAATTTGCAAGTAAAAAAGAAAAAACACTTGACAGACGTCATTATATAGTTAAGTACCAGTAGAAAAGCTTATAATATTATTATATTACTTTTAACCTATATCTACTTACATAAAAATTATAATATATATGTAATTATACTATTATAAAAGAAATAATCTCATACTAATCAATGTATATAGTGTTTCATAGAGAACGCAGTTTTTAATTTTGCTATAAATCAACTTTATTTTATAAGAAATACATTATAAATAATATATATTGTTTCACTACGAGTTGAGGTTTAAATGTGAAACATGATATTGTGCATATGATCTCCCTCTTATCGTTCGGCACACAGTGACTCTGTGTCTCTGTCAATTTACATTGACAATTTACTAATCAAATTTTCACAGACTTGCTCTTTACGCTCACTAATAACTCATTGAATTTTTTCCTTAAGATTCAATGAAGTTCACGACTTGTCTGTATAAAAATAATGATTAATTGAAACCCCAAGAGAAGAAGTTAAGCTTAGTTCAAGGACAATCAAGAAAAAACAAATGCATCTGCAGTGAGTAACTATTTGGTGTGGATTTTGACAGGTGAGGGTTAAAGTTTTTTCATTTGAACAATTTCGAAGATAAACTTGGAAATGTTATTGAAACATAATTTTCAATTTTTCTTAGCCTTTTCTGGATGACATGGACACTAAGAAATGTAGTTCCAGCAAATCGATGCTCCCTGTCACACTTTTGTTCCCTGAAAAAATTGACAGCTGACTCATTTCCTTCTGTGGCGACCAATAGTGGCCACTAAGGTGTGATTTACTTTATATGACTTCTTCCTTGGGGGTTTCATTAAATAATTGTTTTATACGGACAAGTCATGAACTTCATCGAATCTTAAGCAAAAAATTCTAGAGTTATCAGTGAACTTAATATGCAAGTCTGTGAAAATTTGATTAGTAATTGCATTGACAGAGTCACTGTGTGCCGAGCGATAAGAGGGGATCATATGCACAATATCATGTTTCACACTTAAACCTTGACTCGTAGTGAACCAATATAATACATAATTTATAATTTAGTTCTCATAAAATAAAGTTAATTTATAGCAAAATTGAAAACTGCGTTATTTATGAAACATCCTGTATATATTATCAATAGTCTTTACCGAGGAAAGCTGGTTTTAAAACACATATAAAAATGTGTATTAAGTAAACTTAATGTGTAATTTTCGATATTAATATTTATACCTAGATTTTTTTTAATGTCAGTTTATATAAGTATTATTTAATTGTTGTAATTCGTATATTATGTTAACTTGATATAAAAATCACACTCGTTTCGAAAATTAAAAATATTTTTTTATTTTAATGAATTTGAATTATTTTAGTTGAAACATCATCATTTATATCATAAATATCTACTTAAAATCCCGTAGAGACTTAAATGCGAGTAGCAACGGCTGAGATTTCCAAATAAATAAAGTCGAAGAGACTAGGTTTTATTATTGATGCATTTAAATGTAAATACATTCAATTTTTTAGAATATACACGATTGTGGTTACATAACAACGAAAATTCATGTCAATAAAATAATTGTAATTTATAAATATTTACGTTCGAATAAATATAATTTACGTTCTTTCTGTTTGATAAACTGTTATTTTTAACTGTACACATCTGCCAATGGTAAGAAATAAGCGATAAGTTTGCAAATATTTATTTTATGTTTGATAATGTAACCTTTTAAAAACATAAAGAATAACACTTAAAAAAGTATTTTTTAAATGAAGAAACTTGCATGATTTTAAGCTGCTTAACATTATTATACGTGATTGAAATTTAAAATACATTCATTGTTCTGTTTTATAGTATACGATTTGGAATAGTTTTATCTGTACCTATAATTTCTTTACTTATTATTTCTTCATCAGAGTTCTAACGTCTGTGATAAAGAAACAAATTACACATAAAAACAAATATTTTTAGTACGAAAATATTAAGTGTTCCTATATGGCTGAAAAATATTTAGGAAATTCTGACGAATCAAATGATTGTCTCGATATAACTAAAAGTAAATAGTCTGTTTAAATATTATTTATTTTAAATTTTTATACAAGTCAGTGTACCTAAAATCGATTTATGTATATACCTACGACTAATATTACACTATTACAAATTATTAGGTAATATTGTAATAATTATAGTATTATAGTATAATAATATCTTTATGTTATTGTTCATTTTAGTGAAAGAGCTTTTTGATAACGAAAAAATCTCTGATGTTAGTGATGTTCCAGATACTTTAAAAGAAGTACAGGTACGACAATTGTTTCGTTAATTAATACAGATTTAAATTCAGATTAGTCGATTATTTTACAATTTATATCGATGTTAAACTTATCTACCTACTCCCTTTACTTATATAATGAAAAATATAGTTTAATTTATTGTTTTATACCGTTATAAATAAAGTCAAGCTTTCAAAGGGTATATAGGAGGTATAATAAGCTATAGATTTTAAACTACTCTGCAGAATAATTGTACAATACTTTGAATACATTTTTGTTCGTAGTTTTTATTTTATTTTTCTGTCGTTACATAGTGGAAAATGGTCGATGGCGGCGATGGATTAAAATTGAACTGTGAGAATGAAATACAATTAAAAACAATCGAAAAAGAGCTCGAGAGATTAAAGGTTGTTTACTGTGCACATATACGGGTCACTTTAAGTTTTAAAACAAAAAAATAGGCATCTTATAGTAAAAAATATTTTTAGATACAAAACGAGTTCATTACGAATAAAGTTCATTCAATTACTAACAGATCAAAGTTTGAAAATGATCAAATAACAACGATCAAAGTCGAAACGAACAAGTATATACAATACGAGCATCTTCTATTCGATTCATATAAATTGAATAATTATTTTTATTATTGTGCTCGTTGCATTTACTTATATATAGGATTCAAAACGAAATGGAAAAAATACATGACAAAAAAATAGAAAAAGAATTGGAAAATGCAATATGCTTTAAAACCATAATCGACAAAATGGTGGGAATCCATAGCCATATCGACCAGTTTAAAGTGATAGTAAACGGTTTAGAGACCACTATAGAAGAAATATTTGAAAATAAAAAAACCATAGCAGAGATAATGGAGTTGTGTGAGTATATGAAGAACCAGTATTATTTGCAGATAACTGAAAATCAACGGCAGTTCACCGAGAAGACCAGTAAACACGTGGATGAAATCAATCAGTTAAATGCGTACGTGGATATTAAAACTAAAGAAGTCAATGATTTGGAAAAACGCTGCATCGATCAACAACTTTGCATTGATTTCCATCAAAAATTACTGAAACGCGTCGAAAAGTATATTGCCGATATGGTATACAATATTTATAATTTACATTTATTATTAACTGATATTGAAAATCGAATTAACGATGATGCGATTGACACGCTTTTTAAATTTGTTAAAAAACATATACCTATCTATAATGTGTGTGTGTGTGTGTGTGTGTGTGTGTGGCGCGCGCGTATAAATAGATACATATATTATTATGTAATAAGCAGACAGCACGAGTGCTTAATTAATTTAATCTACTGTTAAATGTTTTGATAACTAATCATTTTTTTAAATCATAATTAATTAAAAAAATTAATTTTATTACGCATAAATATATTTACGTATTATTATGTATAAGTTTATCAAATTGTATGTCCATATTGTAGCAATAAATATCAAAAAAAAAAAAAAAATAATAAATATCTGGTATTAAAGTATCAACATTACTATAATATTACAGTTATCAACTATCTTTTTGTACACAAAACAATCGGAGAATGAAAAAAGTCAGTTACTAGTACCAAACGAGAACCAAAAAGAAATTGTTTCAATATTAGCTGTAAGTAATATTTACACATATTATGAGCAATAATTGTTTTTATTACCTGTTATATTTGTCTTGTTTTAAGCTGTTGGGTATAAGTCCATATTTTTAAAAAAAAAAAAAATGTCATATAATAATAGATATGTATATTATAATATATATAAATATTTATTACATTGATAAATGTATAGAATAAGTTAGATTAAAAAAACTAATAAATCCAATTTATAGAAAAAATTGGAAGAAATTCGCGCCATCGTTGGAAATGAGAGAATATCAAGACATGACGATTGATTTGCATATAAAAGAATAACATGTTGAAAATTCCAACTAGGAAAACGATTTTTCTGTTGATTAAACGTTTTAAATAATAAAGCTTAACAATTCATAAAATTGAAATCACGAAACCATAACAATATCTTAGTACTTTTAAGTAATATAGCAACAATTTACTGTTTATTATGTACGCTGTATATAATGAGATATTAATATTTCACATCAGACAGTGACATCCCCGAAGACTTACTACTTAGCCCATATAACATATTGTTTTAAAACAGTGGGTCGAAAAAATAAATTGCGAAGTGTTTCTGTTCTCCCGTTGTTAATAATTATTAATTAATTTGCAATAGCTAGATAGCATTATTCAACATTAATATAAAAAAACATAATTGTTGAGTTTAACATTTTGACTACGTTCATGATTATATACTTATCTAATTTTACATAACTTTATATAAATTTCAAAATAAATAAATAAAAATTGGTTAGTAAAATAAATAAATACTTTTCATTCTCAATATATTGTACATAAACATATAGATTAAATAAAAAAATTATAAAATATTTTATAGTAGAAAAAGCTCTAGAACCAATGTAATTGTAATATACTTCATATAGAAATTTGCATATTTTTTTTTGCAGTTTATGATTATTTTATTAAGAACTTTTTTTAATATAATACTCTTCTTCTGTTTGCGATGGCAACAGCCATGGAAGTCGAATAGGAATTTCCTCAATTTCATTTTGATCAGATTTGCAAGTTGGAAATAAACTCGGTTCTTCTTCGGCATTGTTATGATCAACTATGTCAAGAGTGTATATCTTTTTTTCGCACAGGATTTGTGAAGTTTTAGTTGTTTGCTCCGAACATAATGTAATTAAACCTTCGACGTCTTTTTTTAAATCACTTTTAACTGTTTGAGTGTCGTTATTCTTTAATGTTTTATTAACTTCAATTGATCCGCCGACATTTTGATGATGATTATTTTTTACATTATTAAACAAGTTTTCATCACTATTCTCGTCGTCATTTAAATCTAAACTTGTGTTAACAAATTTTTCGTTTTCGTCTAAATTTAATTCGACACTGACGTAATTTGTCTCTACAGATATCGACTTGTTTTCGGTACGTTCAATGGCCAGTTCGGTCAAGTCGTTTGAACATAAACGGTCATCGGTACACTGTTTGAGAGATGGTTTATCTGCAGTATTGTCTCCCGCAACGATATTCACCACCTCGTTCTCAAACGAGTCAGCTTTGCTGTCAACGGAGTGTTCGCATTTTTCGTCCAATCGCTCTGCAGGTTCCTCATCATGGTTCGCAATACCGGCGATCGGAGGATAGGAGCCATCGATGTTTTCTTCGTTTTCACTGTCGCAGTCTACTGCGGCAGTGCAGGTACTCGGTTCTTCTATTCGATCACACAGGCGATCTACTACGTCACTCTCGAGATCGCTTGAACCATCGTCGTCGATACCGTCGCGTGTTGAAAAATCGTTGGCAGAGTCATCTCTACCGTCTTTATTATCGACGATTTCACATACCAATGGATTTGTGGCTTTGGTGGGCGATTCGTCGGAGGAGGAATCTTCGTCCGAAGAACCGTATTTATCGTAATAGTCTTTGGACACGATCAAACTGTCTGCAGAATCTCTCCCGTCGGTACCTTCCTGATAGCCGCTGTCTCCAGAGGCCGACGGAGTAATTTGTACGTTTTTATTTCGACGCATACTCATTATCGCGCGTACGGAATCCAAGATGGTTTTGTGTTCGTCTTCGTTTAACTTGGTTCTCATGGCTTGTTCCGCTTCGATCCCGCCCGTACTCCTAAAAATATAAAAAATGTATTTAATTATCCAAATAGATAACTGGGATAGGTATAGGCATTTTCTGATAACTGAAATTTCTAATTATAATTCTTACCAAGCTTCTGCGCACAAACGGTCCTTTTTGAATATTGGTCGTTCGTCCAGGTTACGAAGTTCTTTCTGAAAAATTAAACATGATATTTGACTTACTTAAGTAAAATATTCAATCGTTTATTTGTTTTAAATGATAAAATACAATATAAGTATGAAAACGTTCATTATTACTCTATACGATTATGATATTCTTCAATCGATTTTGTAAATAATAAAAACGAGGCTACTACTACAAAAAAGTAGAATGATATTTAATTTTTAATATAACTTTAAGACTTACACATTTTATGGTTAATGTTTTCCGATAGTTCTTTATCTTCGAAATCACACTATTTCCAGTTAAAGACAAAACTCGCAAAGATTCCATGTTGGTAAATACCTATAAAATTGGAAAAAAAATTTGAATATTACATACATTACCCGTTATATTAAGTACCTTCATATATACTAAGTACTTGGTAGTTAGCAAAGTATCAACTTACATCGATGATTTCTGGGTCATCTAAGTAGTTATATGAAAGATCAAGTATAGACAAGGTTTTACATTTGACCAAATGAGCAATGTCGTTCGCTGTAGAAAGCTTGTTGTGAGATATAATCAACGAATTAAGGTCCTGCAAGTGATCTAAAATTCGTTTAAGAATAAATAATTATCAATTTTTTTTCAATTTAACTCCATTTGTTGCAGCACTTGCCTAAGTTTTCAATATTTTTAATGAAATTGTGGCTCAAATTTAACGTATTAAGTTTGATCACAGAATCGAGATTTTCGATTTTGGAAATGGCATTGTTGTGCATGTATAAACCGACAAGCTCCGTTTGATTTTCGAGTCCAGAAATGTTCGTTATGCAATTGTTTTCTATCCACAGACATTTTAACCCAGTATATTCTTCCAAGTTTTCGATCTTTGAAAATCCTTGAATTAACGTTTGATAGGTATATTAATTACACACAAGTATCTGTAGACTTATTTTTAAGAGTTGAGCAAAACTCTCAGTCCAAATAATTATTACGACGCATTTGCATATTATAACTATACGCTGTCTACGCATGTTTTTAACATACCTCTAAAATGGAGATACAGAACATCATTGTGACGAGGGATGATGTACAATTTATTTTGTTTGCATATTTCTCTGAGCGTTTCTTTCGTCATTCTGAAAATCATACTTGTATACAATTTTGTTTATTCATACTTTTATAACTTAAAATTAAAAATGAAGCTGAACAGTAATTAAGTATTATGGTGCTTTATCATTTGTTTTACTATTACATTAAATATATTTTTTAATTATTAAAATATTTAATAAATGGCTTAGTATAATCATAATATAGTATATTAATTTATATACTACCATAATATTTAATTATGAGTAAATTAGAAAATAATAACTAAATGTAATAGTGTAGGTAGTGTAGCAGTATTACTACTACTAATGTAGTATAAAATATAAATATAGTATATTATACCACATATACACATTAACTTAATATAGTATATATACCATTTAGGTGTGTACCTATAATAAATAAAATATGCTATAGCTGTATAGCACCAATAACGATCATGCACTATTTGCAGATTGTATATTTAGGTAGTATACAATTATTAAATTAAACTTCAAGTGAATAAAGAGATGGGTATTTAATTGTTTGAATACTATTATATAGGGTCTATAGTTATTAAAAAATATTTAAGTTCATATAATTAATAAACTATACAAAATATTAGCATAAATAGAACTTTTTTGTGTAATTTATTATTATTATTATTATTATTTTGTATTACTTTATAACTGTTGTTACATAATAAGTGTTAAACTGAAAGTATATTATATCATTCATATCTAACATAATATTTACGACATTTTACAGTTATCATTATTATTATTATTAATAACGCATACTTAAATTAATTTATGATAGGTAGTCAAATAGTTACTATAATAATGAATGGTTTATAATAAAAAAAAAAAAATCACCTAGTATTAAATAGGTAATAGTGTACATGATAAGAACCATAACATGCATTTCTAAATTCATCGGTTCAGCGAGTTATTACTTATTTAAAATAAGTACCAAGACCTTTAAAAATAAGTTATTTTTAAATATCTTGGAAAATACTTTAATCGTAATCGAGTGTAAATGCAATATAATATAGTACAATCTAATATCAACAACTTTGTAACGTACCCAGGCGCAAGACGTTTATGAAAACCATTTTTCGTTTCATCAGTTTTCTCCATTTTTCCGATAATACCTATGATTTGTACTTGTACTATTTTACAAATTAACTTTTCCACAGTATTTTTTTAATAAAAAAAGTGAAGTTATAGAATCAAGAGTGAATATAATACTTTAGTCAATAATAACTACGTCTGTATCCATAGTGATAAGTGATAACAATATCGTAGGTAGCTGGTCAATGAAAAAGATCCGTTTCTATAGAAAATAATATTTACTAAACATCTATACATAGTTACGAAGATTTTAAATGTATTATAATAATGCACTGATAACGTATTAGTTAAACGTATATAGTTAAAACTTACAATATTATGCTTTATAAACTAGACATAATTATGGTTTTCTAAAGTGTAAATATTTGAGAATTTATTTATTAAGATATTTTTTAGATAATTTTGCAATGAATACACGTGATATGTACAAATAGCTGAAATTTTAAGGGGGATTGGACTGAATCCCCAATAATATCAATAAAAAAATGACGTAAGGGCCATGTCATCTTCCCAGTTTCCCAAATTTTGTTTTGAAAAAACAAACAAATAATTAAAGAAAAATGGAAATTTTTGTGCAAATACAATTTTTGACAAAACTTGTTTTATTTTTTTTATGGAACTCTCGAAAAAAAATAACCGTATAGTTACTTAAAATGTTTTCCAAATTCTTATAATATCTTTTTTTTTTATTTATGATAAAACTTTTAATTTTTTTAAATCTTCTTGAGTTGTTGATAGGTACAAAACATTTTTTTTCTATAAATGTTGATAAAAAATTATTTATTGGGTCAAACTCAAGAAAGGAGAGTTGGTATTTTTATTTTGAGGTCTGTCGTTACCTGTCACATCTGCGTAGGATTTTCACGTGTGTTCGTGTATGAAATATGTGTTTGTTGACTGCTGGGCTGAGTATTGAGAATTTTGGCACTGCTGTCGGTGTTATTAAAAGACTTGTTTTGAATTGGAAGGATGACTGGGTCGTTGTTAGAGTTATTTATAAATCGTACATCCCTTATAGTTAGTAGGATAATTGCTATTGCATAACGCACAAATTACAGCAGGAGACTCGCGTAGTTTGGTATACGATGCTGTAAGATGATTTCCAATGTATTTGACGCGTCGAAGAGAAATGTAAAAATATTACTATATTAACTTAGATATTTATAAGCAGTTTTCCAAGGAATACATTAATAATATATTTAAAATAGGTACTTATTGGATACTATTTTGACCTATTATTTGTAAAAATTTTAATACTTTAATAATATTTTCCCTCAAGTGTTTCTAATATTTCTTATCGACATATCAAGTGTAACAAATGCAAATTCAATTTAAACAATATATACCATATCTAAGTATACTGCCTTAACAATTGCAACAAAATACAATCTTAAAATAATGTACTGTTAAACGAAGATCGGAGAGCTTAACGCAATAATAAGTTCTATCTTTCATAACATAACTCATAAGTAAAAATTATATTTTCGTTCGTTTTAAATTTTTTATTTTTAAGTTATACGTTATATTTTAAATTTAAATTAAGTATGATGTGTAGAACACTATAAAATATAAGTTTTATGTTTATTATTTATTATACTGTATTACAACACAGAGTTCCCATGTAAATATCTAATATTATAAAACGTCAGGCACAACTCGTAATCGTATAATTTAAGTAGTTGATAAATACAGTAAAGATTTTCGTAATAGTCATAAAAATAATTAGTTTAATAATAAAAAAAAAATCGTTCAATGGAAATATTTACAACTTAATTAGTTGATCTTGAAAATAATAAATGAAAATAATCATCGATAAACATCGATACAAAGTTCAGTTAAAGATCAAAGATCAATTATAAATAATGTAATTAATAAGTAATTTCGTCTGAATCATATCGTATCGGTACATGAATATTGCTTAAACTCTTTAATTTCTGAGTCATGCTCGTAAATTAATAGCTTTTATTTGAACGATAACAAACTGTATTTTTTAAAAATTTAATCTACATACCTAGATAATAGGAACTTACGTTTTTTTCATATTTTTCTGAATTTCTGGACAGTTATAGTGCTTCTCAAACCTATATGGTTTTAATTTTATCAATTTACCAAAAGCATATAGTTTTAGTCAGTTACGCATTTTAAAAACACACAGTAAAATGTGATTTATTGTATATTTTACTATTTGTTTTTTTAAGAGGCAAATATTCGAATATTTATGCATATAAAGATTAGGTCCTAATTGAGTGGATTCAATAATTAAAATAACTAATTTAAATTTAATGGTCGATTGGCGATTACCAATATAAAATATTATGTGGTATTATCGCCATCGTATTATTGTAATTAGTAATAACCATAATAACTAATAAACTTTTAAACAAATTTCGCAGTAAACTTACTTAAATAATAAATACATATTATAATAACGGCAATCATAATATTCTAGGTAACTATAGAAAAGTTTGAATGTAATATTTAGCAATTATTGTTAACCAATAATTATTTGTTAATTCCTACACTTCTTTAATACTGCATATAAACATTAAATAAGCTATATTAATTTATTATTATTGAGTTTATACAATAAAACTTATAGATATTCAATAATATTATATAATATAGATATAATTTAATAACCTCTATAAATACGGTTTTATTATTGAAGCGTCATAAACTCATATATTTTTTTCCAAGTGCCTTTGTTGTAATCGAAAAACATAGTTCATGTATACATTTTATGACTCATAGTTAATATTATAATGTGGTTCATATAATTATTATAAATTATAAATTATTGTTAATGTATACATCGTTTTACTTGCATTGAACTTTGAAGTATTAGCTTGTTGTATGTTTTATGTTATTAAAACGTAGAATACTAAAATACAGAAATACCATAGTAAAAGGTTATGTTTCAAATAACTATTTCTTACAATTTGTACTGAAATATAATCATAATATGCATAATATTCCACGATATTATATAAATAAATAATAAATGATTTTCAAGAATTCTATGTATTGAAAAATTTTTTATAATGACAATAGTTGTGAAAAAGTAAGCTTTTATTTATTATTATTTTATTTGATAATAGCTAATTTATCATTATTTGATAAAATTATTATTATTATTTACTATTTAAACGTCTTATAGTGTTGTCCTATGTTTCTATACAATTTATCCGTATCAATGAAATACAAGAAATCTAATATCTAAACTAAATAGATATTTATTAAATTTGGTATTCCAACATCTAAATATTTACATGCATATTATTTAATATCATATTTTTACGATTTATAATTTAAAATATTATGCATTTAATTTGATGATTAAATTGTAATTGTGTATTATTATTTATTAGGTAGGTATACTGAAAAATTATTTTGATTATTTATCATAATTATTCATGATGTATGTACGTGCAATTGCTTAGCTTTTGTAATACTTTTGTAATACACAGGAAATATATTTCATTTATTATTTTTTTTTTTTTTTTTTTGGTAAAAATATTTAACTCTCAGACTATGGTCTTACACAATATTAGTAAACTATATTATTATAACTTATTTACAAAAATGAATTTTGTTCATAATCACATAGGTCAGTACCTACTTTATACCATTAATTACTGATTATAATTATATTCACTATTATTTATTATGTTTTACTGACAATGAATCATCTAAACTTAGAAGTTAGAAATTAGAATTTCTTATTATAAATGGTAGCAAACCGATACATTTTTCTTAACTTACGAAAATACATAATTTAATTAAGTTTTCGTGTTAATTAGGATTATTAAAGATGTACAAATGATAAAGTATTGTAATATATAGTAATTGCAATCAAGAAGGTATCCTTTCTAAATCTAATTCACATTTTATTTTAAGAAGATTTGGATCAAATGCATATTTTTCTGCACATTGTTTGAATTCTTGTCCTGTGCTAGCCGCTGCAATCATAGCTTTTCTCATTCCATCGGAATCTATTGTTCTTAGATTGGTCACTAATCGCAATGCCGCCCACACTCTTATGTGAGCCGTAATGCACCCGTGATTATAATTACCGTATTCACCACATTGATAGTCCCATGGTAACGTGTAATGGTATTGAGGCCACAGGCTTTTATTTATGATAAATACTAAGTTTGTTTGAATAGAATACCTGAATCAAACAAAACGATTGTAATTAAAATCTAATTTATAAGTTTAACCATATATTTTTCATCAACATAAATAATATTGATAAGTTTTCTTAAAACTTATTGAGAGATTATAAACGATAATGCATAATATTAAATATCGAGTTGTTTAAATCGATAACCACTTCAGGTTTGTTTTTAGAATAGATTTTAATCGGTATAGCTTTTTAATCAATAGCTAACATAAAAATAACTTATAAATGATAATTAATAAACATATATTCATATATTTTTGATTTATAAAATTAATTTTATAATTTTAAAAAATGGATATTATATGTAGTTTACATAATATTTCATATAATTATTCTCATTTATTCTTAGCCATTTTTGAAATGTTGTTTTAATTTAAATTAGTAAATAATATTTTCTTGTTATAACATCAATGTAATAGTAAATATTGTAATATATTATTAGATAATAATGGACATAAATCATTAATTATTAATGCTCAATTTCCGACCCTTATACCATAAATAATTTTTAGTCTCAATGCTGTAACAAACTGGAGCCCTAATTTATATATACATATATTTTTTTAACATTTTTTTAATATAAAAATATTAGATTAAAGTAGAACTTCAAATATTATAGACCGGGTAAAATTATATGATTTACTATCTACTGAAGATATGGCTTATACTTATTTATTTATCTTAGTTACAACTTGGGCAGTTTTTTTTGATATTTTATTTTATTAAAATATTCATTACAAGTCTAATAAAACTCTTGTTAAAAATGTGTGTATAATAATGCTATTTTTTTTCAAATATAATATATTAATATTTTCTGTACAAATATTTAGTTATACTGACTGAATATTTTTCCTAACTTTTCTATTTACATTTTCGAATAATATAATTGAACTAGTTTTGAAGCAAGCTTATTTTCAGTTATTAAGATACTAAGTTAATTAAAGACGTCTTTATCAATCAAAGTTCTTTGTTATGTTTTTAATTAGTTTCCTAGCTTACTAAAAGATTTTCCTGTTTTAGAAACTGTTAATGGTAGCGTACAAAACTTTGATAAGCAGCAGAAGTGTTTATAAAAATAAATAGTAAATTATTTGCATAAATTTAGTTTAAAAGTTGTAAAGGAAAAATATCGATTTTAAATTGAAAAATAATACGTGATTAAGTAATGTGCAGTTAATTGTCTAATTAAAATTTTTACGTAGCATCTTCGAGAATCCTAATCCAAGGGCAAAGTTCCAACCAACTAGAAAATGTACTATAAACCTAATTAGGTAAAATGTTTATAATTGCAAGTTATAAGTTATAAATTTTATAATAGTATTATAAATTAGATTAGAACATAAAATATTAAAAGCATATGTTTAGATATTACATAAGAAATTATATGTATTTCAACTATCTATAGTTTTATATTAAATGAGTAGATTTATCAGTATATTTTGTTGACTATTTAAATATCATCACAATACGAAATATATTTTAATAATTACTTGTTGAGTGGTTCTAGTCCCCAAATTATCGTAGCTGCATTTAAAATCCAACTGTAATGTAACGATACTGTAACTCTGAAGAATCCAACAATGAAAATTGAGTAAATAAGTGACTCATCCCAGAGTTCAGATGGTAAATACACGGTGACAATCAATAACAATGGAGCCAGCAACCAGTAAAGTCTAAAGCGAAACATAAAAATCGAATAATTAATGAAAACTAAATTGAAAAGGTTTACCTTTTTTGCCACATTACAATAGGATCTTGCTCCAAATCTTCAGTATTGATAGTTTTTAAAATTTTCTCATGGTCAGGATGACTTGTAACAAATTTGTTCGTAAGATACGCAAAGAAAAATCCTCGTTGTGGGTTAAACGGATCTTTTTCTGTACTAAAATGCTCATGATGCAATCGATGTTCTAACACCCAGTCGTAAATTGATCCCTGAAAATAATATTGTATTAGGATATTTAATACATTAAATTTTTGATGATTTGCGTTTACTTGACATATTAAGGTCTGTGCAAATGCCAAGAATACTCTGAGTAATGTACTGGCTTTGAAACTTATATGTGCCCATAATCGATGTGCACCAGCAGTTAAGCCGAGGACAGACACGTGGATAAGACATATCGCTATAAAAATGATAACAATTTTTTATTTAAAATAGGTACTTTATGGAGTAAACTAGTAAATAAATAAAAATAGGAATAATTACTATAAAATATAGTAGTCCATTTAGCTTGAAAAACTGCGAAGTAAAGTCCAATAAAAGCAGGAAAATGAAGGTATACATAGTAAAGAACATTTGGCCATCGCGTTTCTCTTGGTATTCTAATGTCTTTATCCGTCATTATAAATAAGTTTAATCAAATTTACTGACTTTAAAATGTTTATTTAAAATATATATTGAGATCGATATGTCTTATGAATATTAATTCAGATACGCATTTCTACAAAAAAATAAAATTCGGTATAATTAAATAAATTACAACATCCACAAAAACTGATATCTTTAATTATCATGTACCAAACGTTATGCGTTGTTTCTGTAGAGTATAATTTATTAGTTTACTGTGAATAAACGTACTTACTTTGATGTCGAAAAATTCTTCGTCGAAGTCCGGCAAACGACTGTACGAACGTATGCACCTCCTGAAGGTCAATCGTATTCGTCGACCTGTTGGCTTTACATACATACGATTTGATAGAATAGATTTATAGTATAGCGTCTACGTTTGTCGCATAGTAATTATTATGCGCGCTTATTGTACTAGTTATTTAGGTTAAACAATAATTTATCCTAATAATGCGCATATTACCTGTGTACCTACGTTGTCGAGTGATAATGATTTATCGAACGGCTGTAATATTATATAAAGTCAATGTATCCCGGAAATCCTGTACAGTAGTGTACAACTACTGTACCTATATAATATTAGACACGATATTTACCCATTAGTCTTGGTCTTACATTTCTGAAAAAATATGTTCATAATTCTATTACAACAGGTAATTATAACAGGTAAAGATACAAGCACAAATATCAACATAAAACTGTATAATGCCTTTTCATTATAATTATTGTTACATGAATCTCCTCCAATTTTGGGTTTGTATATTATGTAAGTATTGTTATTAATTTTTACATGAACTTTATATATTTATTAGTGCATTTTTAGTTTGTAAGTCAAGATGAAAAATGTGTTATTACATTACTATAAATAAATCATATCCATAATAATATTATGCATACAACGAAAAAAGCCACAACCTACCGATGCCATACGAATACAACATACAGTAGTGTATTACAAAAAAAAAAATATATATTAATATGTTGAATCTTTAATCGACAATAGTTATTTGACAATTAACGCATTTGGAATTCTAATGAACTCATTAAAATTGTGCACATTTTAATGAAGCAATCTATATATGTTAATTTGTCATTAACATCAAAGTCTGAATTTTATTTTACATGTGTTATAAGTTACAATGAAACTATAATATATGAACAAATATCTAAATAGATAGCAAATACAAATGCGAACTCACCTATGTAGAATCTATATACAGCATTTAAAATATCTGTATTCAATTTAAAAATAAGCGAATATCAAATTTAAAATGTTGATAATTGATTGTTTTCCGTACACAATATACAATGTATTGTCTTTAGTTATCACTCATTATTCACTACTTACAGATTTACTCTAAAAAAATATAAAAATAATAGTAACTTACTGTATTTATTAGCCAAACTTTAATGAAGTATTTAAAACTTTATATAAAAATAAAAACTTCTTTGGCATATTTATTTAAATTTAAAATAATAATACAATTTATAGTATTAACTAAATAGGTTGTTGAGTGGGACCACCTAACACCTTGTAAATATATATTACAATTATGTAATTATGTATAAAAAATTGGAGTAAATATTAGAAGTAATATTAAGCAAGTTATTCTCTCATATACGTTTTACGTTTTGAGCATCTAATGAATGTATTGGTTTTACGATGATGTTTTTTTTTTTTTTACTACTATTTTATTTGTCATCTCCTTTTGGAGTAGTAAAAATACTTCAAACATCAATTTTAAGATTCTAGTAGAAAATTAGATCTAGTTCGTTCAGTACATTGAGGTAAAAATTCCCAGTAGTTTTCAAAATAATTGGTAAAAGCTAAAAAAACTAATAGAAAAATGATAATACTCGTATTTATTCAATATCAATTTAAGACAAATTTAATTTTGATATTTTTATTTTAATATCAGACAGGATATTCCCACTTTAACTTTCTAAAATCTTCCTATTAAAAAGTGCTGTGAACATACAAATATATACTACTGAATAGGTTATTAAAATAAATGTGTTAAATCGTTAAATGTAAATCAATGGTATAAAAAATGATTTTGAGAAAATACTTTATTTAACTATTAAATTTTCTAAATAACGCACGGGGTATTTTTGTCCACATATTTAATAAAAAAAATATTCTTGGTTTATGTTTAAATTTTTAAATAAGACCGTGAAATATCTGAATAAATATATTTATTGTTTTTTACACTACTCACTAGTATGGTTAGTGGTCATTATATCATATATTATTATAGTTTATAATCCACTAAAATCATTAATAGTGGTCAGCTCTCTTGTGGACACCTATTGATTGATAGTTCACAACCATTACACCACTATTATTATTATTTTCAGTTTATGTTTATTTCAATATCATTAGAATTGACATTTTATTTTTATTAAATTATGAGCATTTTTTCTACTACAAAAATGTCATGAGAAAAAACCATTTTGTTGTAAAACCAATACATTGATAGTGCTTGGCGCTTTACCCTACAGAGGTCAGAATCTAAAATATTATTCACAGGGATTTTTCACCATTACCTATATTATTATTTTCAATATGAAATACAATTTTAAAATATTTATACCACGAATCTATTGACACAGTTTTAATGTGCGTTGATATAGACTTAAATAACATAATAAATATGATATAATAATAAAATTGTTGTTATTTTAATTACTTATAGTTTTATATTAAATTATAAAATAACTATAGAAACATCAAATAAAGATTGATACAATTACGTGTTTTACCGCTTAGAATCATTTAAAGTATGCTACAATTTATCATTTTAATTAAAATAAACGTATCATTTACAGTGATCTACCTAAAATATTCTCCCAGTAACCCAAATCCTTATCCTTATGAGATATAAAACGCTATATTTTGAGACGTTTGTATTAATATTAAAATACATAAACAATATCCAAATAACAAATTACATTAACATTTTGGTTTTGTTTTATTTATTCATTCAATTTATTGAACTAATTAAACTTTGATATACCTAATTTATTTATTAGTAAACAGGTCAATTGTAATTTTTTATTTTAATTGAGTTTTTATAATGTAATAAAAACTCAATTAAAATAAAACAAATAAAAATAGGAAATTGTTATTCATAAATTTATGATGATTGTTCATTAGGTACAATACTCCAATGTTCCACATTATACACTTAAAATTACTGAACCATTAAAATAAGAAATATTTCAAATATTTAATAATAATTGTATATGATTGCATATTTATAACGTACATATTTACTATTATAAATAGCTTTTTACAAAAAATAATTAACAACATTAAAAAATTCTGTTGCTGTAAAATATTATATTATATTATTTTAATATGGCATTTAAATCGTATCAAAAACAGTTTATATTCTAACCAAAACTGTATTACTACTTATTGATAATCGATAAAACTTATAAATAGCAAACTAACAACAATAAATTATAAATAATACTACGTCGATACATATTTAAAATAATGCATGAAATAAATTCATGTACCTATATATATAAAAGAAGAAAATAACGATAAATTGACGATTACAAATTGCATAAATTTAAAAATCAATCTATAATTAAATAATACCTAGCTACACGAATTCAGGTAGTATACACTATAACATTATATAATGTACATTAAACAATTACCACGAAGTCACTTAGGCATGTAATGTAAATTTATTAATATTTTTAATATTTTTAATCGCAATACTTCTGTTATTAATTTATTCACTATAAATTCTCGGATAAAAATGTACTATTTTTTTTTTATATATATATAATAAATAATGACTAATGTACTTTTTATATCTATTTATAAATTAACCTATTTCTCGTTTAATCAATATTAAATATTATATATTGATTTAAATTTAAATGTCTTAAAAATAAAATAGACATCTATCTCTTTAACTTTGATATCGATACATATCATCATATCAAGTATCAATTACATAATAATTTACGAAATTTGGTTTCTAGTTATTATTTTTGCACTAAATTTTAAAATATTTATTACAAATTATGTAAATAGGTAATGCAGCAAGTAGGATTTCTGACTAGTCACAATTTAAAGCCTATCAATACTTCTCTGACCTTTAAACTGAACATAGCACATCTACTGATAACTTACAAATTATAAATATATGAAAACATACTTAAATTAAGCAAACTAACTTAATAATACTAAGACTTTAATAAATGGACTTATAAAGACAAAAATCATATGATATATTTAAAAAAAAAGCTATTGATTGGGAAAAATACCATATAAGCTATACTGCTATATAATATTATTCGATTATCATCTGTATAATTTCTATTCATACATTTTATGTATATGCTACAACTGTATCTTTTATTAATTGTGTTTTTGGAGCGTACCCATCAGTTAGCAATATAAATTGTATTCATATTATGTTTCATGTTAATAATTTAACAAAAAAGTATATTACAAAAATAAACAGGAGTTTTTCACCAATAGCTATATTAATGATATGAAAATCACGTTATCAAATCAATATAAAATTATATGGACATAAAATTTATTTCACTGTTTGTTTAGAAAATAAATTTATAAGAAATCTTATTTTCAAGTAGTATTTTATTAAAAAATAAATATTTTAGTTGTACATACTTGGAACAAAAAAAAAAACCAAAAAATAATACAAATATCTATAAACTCACAAACAGAATAAAATATTTTAAAAATATGTTAGGTTTAGTAAATACTAATATGAATGATAAAAATTCCAAGTTTATTCTAATATTTTATATAGTTTTACAATGTATCTTTATTGATTTGAATTCAACAAGTTAAATGCTTCTTAAATGTTAAATCTTAAGTATAAGGTGGATAGATAGGTACTTAAATGGGTATTCAAATATAATTTGGTGGGTGGAATTATACGAGTGAATAAAAGACGAACAATCCTATTTGAAAGACACCTTAATTAGGGTAGTTTTCATTTGAGTGAATTACTCAAAAATTACATATCTTTAGATGAGCTTATATAATATCGTTTGGCTGAAAATTATATGAATA